ACAGAGAGGAAACATTCAAGTTTTTCACTGAGGCTCAAACAACTTAAAACACAAACAGCCCCGACATTTACCTGGACGTGGCTGGAATTTACATTTCTGAGCAAAGGAAGCCAGGGCTACATATATGAAGTGGCACCGTGCAACTCATGCTCCAGTGCCCCGGTTCTGGTACACAGCCCTGTTGGACTAAGAGGCAGATATCTCACAGGAAGAGGGTTTTCTGGGGAGCAGAGCTCTTGTCAAGCACAGCTCCTACCAAGCCTGGGCTGCTGCATGGTTAGAGGAAGCAGGCCCCCTCCTCACCTGCCCAGTACAACCCCATGGTTGGCTCAGATAAACCGCCTTATGTCCCCACACCCTAACAGTGTGTTCACAAGCCCCCCCAGCAGCTTCCCTAGTGTTCCAGGGGCTCAGATCGCATCCCATGACAATGAAAGCAGAGCACAGACAGCCCTGGCTCATACCCGAACCCTGGGCTCCCAGGACTGAGGTGCAACTGCACGCTTGTTAGAGAGAACAGCAGCCCAAGCATGTGCACTTGAAAGGGAGCTGGGGACTGCTGGGCTGCTCTGAACCCCACCTTCTGTCCTTCCCAAGCCCTGTGGCCCACATGGGATGGGAGAGGAAAATAAAGGTCAGACACACCAGGAGAACAGAGCATAGATACCTCAGCTGGTCCCTTGTCCAGGGCACGGGAAAAGTGACTGAAGCCAACCCTTGGAGCTATGCCTCAGCCTGGGCTGGGGAACCCTGCCTGGTTGCACTAAGGTGAGCAAAGCCTATGTATTCCTGTTGTGCCCATCAAATAACACACAGGAGAGCTTCTCCGAGACCTGTCAGAGGTCAGGTTGGAGGCATGCCCTTGTGATAGAGTGTCCACAAAGCAACTGGTTTTGAAATCTTTGTCCTCTACTGGACCATAGACATTTAACAAATCCAGAGTCACTCAGCAGAGCGCATATTGGCAAGTGAATTGCCAAAGGAAACAAACAAAAGAAGAGCCGTACTACCCTCCAGGAAAGCACACTTTTTTAACTGAAGGAACAAGACCTGCCTGCTTAAAAAATAAAGGCCTTTGCACCACCCTCAACCTGCTAACCGAACTCCAGGTTAAGATGCAGATGCTCTATGCACAATCCGAGAGGTCCTGTAGCTCCCTGCTATTCTTGGCCACCCCAGGAGGTGTCTCAACACTTGCCACAGTGCAGAAAGAACAGAGACAAGTCACTCAGGTACAAAATGAGCTCAAACAACAAAGCTGCGCCACTGCACCACTTCAGTCCAGGGCAGAAGGCTGCAAATACCATGTAGGGTTGCCCTGAAATTCGTTTGCACAGGAACATCAAATATCTCTAGGGCTGTGCTCCTCAGAGGACTGCAAGAGTTGAGACTTTGCCTCTTCCTACAGAGAGCACTAGCTGTCCCACAGGAGGGCAGCAGAGTCCCAGCATCTGTGCTGAGCCAGCCTCCATTGCACTCCCCTGCTTCAAGTTGCTCACAGAAGCTGGTGGAGATGCAAGAGTTTGGGAAAGCATCCCCTGGGGAAGGGCGTGGAGATGACGGCAGCGCTGGCTGCCCTCGTGCAGAGGCAGAGTCACCAGGCATTCCTTCATGCAAAAGCCTCGTCACCCGTATGTGCTCAGCACAGAGCGGCTGGAAAGCAGGCTGTGCCTGGGGAGGGAACTCTTCCCCATCCAAACACATGTAAGAAATTTAATAATGCTCTGCTGAATGGGCAGAACATCCCGCTCAGAAAGAAACCAAACCCTCCCCAAGATGTCCTCTCCTTCTGCTCAGATCCACTAGGCTCGGGCTAGTTCCTCTCTTCCTCCTCCACCGCCAGGCACGGGACAGGGAGGGCTGGCAGCCAGGCTGGCATTACTCACGGTTCCTCCTCACAGTTTCTGCTCCACCCCAGGAGTCCCACTTCCTGGCATTGGAAAAGGGCAGCGGGAGGCAGCGCAATCCTGAGGTCTGGTACAGCTGGGGAGGAACTGGAAACACCCAGTCATGAGTACAAGTGTGCATGAATCATCCTGAAACTAGGGGATGGGGCAGCAACCCTCCCGTGGAACAAGGGCTGCCACAGCCGGGAAGCTGAGCTCAAGGAGACCAGGGACTGAGCCACAGGTGGGCTGGGGTGGACACCGTGCAACGTCAGCCCCAGGGACCCAGCACACTGCACCATGGGGCATCATGCTGGCTTCCACTGGGGCTCAGGAGCAATCCTTCCTCCTGAAAGCACGCTGCCTGCAGCCCCCCTGACCAGTGATTAGCCCTTGAGGCATCAGTCCTTGCTAACTAGAGAACACCAGGAATCTGTACTGTTTCAGGATGAGTTCCCATTCCCAGCCCATCTCACACCCTTGCTGGGCCCAGGACACATTACATGCAGCTAAGCCTCAGGGAAATGTCAACAGAGAAGCAAAAATGGATAATGTTCGTACTTCTAAAAGCCCTACTCTCAAGGGGGACATGATGCATACTTCCCACCCCACTAACCTCACAAGAGACAACAGATGTATCTGCTCTCTCATCTTTCCTGACCCAAGGCCTGCCCCGCAGCGCCCAGTCTCTGAGCGATGCTGCAGCCTCACCAGGCTGCGTGCTGGCCTCCGGGACACAGGGGAAGGTACGGGACGGACTGGCAGCAGCAGCCCTGCAGCAGCATGCCAGAAGAGCAGTGCCACCCAAGACTGTGGTCTGCACCAGCCCTGCAAGCAAACACCAGATGGGTCAGCATTTAACCTGGTGCAGGCGCAGGGGATGCCGGGTGGATTCCCGCGGCTTCCAGATAGCAGCTACAATTAGACATTACCATTATAGCAATTACCTTTGGTTTCCTGTGGCGATGACAGAACTAGACTGTCAGAGGTGGTTTCCCCCACCGTATCTAATCTTTTTAAGCCTAAATTTCTTTGTCTGAGTCACAAAGTGAGCCATGTGCAGTTAATTGTTGATGTATTGATGGACTCTGAAAGGTCAATGGCGGAAGGCAGCTCTCTCGACAGGGCCAGTGGTTTGGCAGCAGCCGGTCAGAACCGTGCAAGCCTGCTTTCCAGGGAACAGCTCACATGGGATGGGAGGATGTGACACTACTCAAAGCAGCAAAAGGCAACCTGCTGCAAGTGAAAGAGGTCCTCACCACTCCTCTGGCCAGACCATGAGAAGCACATCTCCAGGCAGTTACGCCAGGATTTGTTGTTCTCTGGAGAGGCAAACGGAAGCCCTCAACTTAGACCCTGCTGGGTTCAGACACTCATTTAAACCAGGGGCTCTCCTTGTGTTCTCAGAGTGCCCCAAGTCAGCTTGGTCACTGTCCAAATGCTTGCTCGTCACCACCAATGGGAAGCAGAGTCAGCAGGGCTACGGGCTGGTTCAGGGCTCCTTGCCCACCAAGGAACCTGCCTCCCTGCCAGTCCTCTGCCTGAGCAGAGCAGCTGCACACAGTGCATCTGCAACAAGGCAAGAAGCACCCTGCTCCTGCCTACCACAGGAAGCTCTGGGTACGTGACAAAGCTGCTGTGTAATTTGTCCCCAGAGCTCTGCCAGTGAAGCTCCCTCGATCCAACCCATGTCTCACTCAAGCTGGTGTTTGCCTGACCATCATTTTGCATCTGGCAAGAAGCTACAACAGCCCCAGCTGCTGCACACCGCCTGCCAAGGGCCGGCAGCACAGGTAGGCCGTGCTGGCTGACGGCAGCCATACAGGGGCAGTGCTCCAAACAGGTGGGGGCACAAGAGGAGCTGCTCTGCCACTTGTGCCGCACCACTGGTGCCAGGACACCACAGCATCTTCCAGAGACTTGGAGATAAAGGCACTTATCTCTCACAGGAGAGAGCCCCTGCAACACGCCCAGAGGCTGTCCCCAGCCAGGGCAAAGGGGGGTCCTGGGGGCACACAAAGAGGCACAGAGGGCTCCTCCAGACCCCACAGCTATTTGGCAATCTGTCTGACCTGGGGCCGAGGGCACAGTGCTCTTCCTGCTCCACTGGATAATTTGCTACCCCCAGTTCACCCCTGACCAGGCACATCTCCTTCCCTGGCCAGAGGAGCTGCTGGCCTAGGGCTGTGCTGGTGCAAACTGACGGGCTCTCACCTCCCAGATTTGCTTGTCCTTCCCCCTCGCTATGGAGGAAACACCCTGCAATCCAGTCTTTGGCCTCTGTCTTCTACTGCTGCCCTCTCGTAGCAAAGAAAAGCAACAAAGCCCTTGGGGGAGAGATGAAAGCAGGGGGAGATGGTGTGACATGCCAGCACAGACGGATGGTGCAGCAGCTCTGGGAGCTGCCGGTCATCCCCAACAGCCCAGCTGGTCACAGGCCCTGGCAGCTCATCCTCCCTCCCAGGCACTGCCTAAGGTCCCTGCACTTCTGAGATGAAGAACCTGACGCCCTGAGCTGTGGAGACCTCTGCACTTCACCTCCACAACCAAGCCCCCACCCTGCAAGAAGCATAGCGAGAGCACAGCCCCTGCAGAAACAAAGGAGCCCAGCAGCATGGGGCCCGTCGCAGCCGTCCCCTGGGGTGGGAGGAAGCAGGACAGCAGCACAGCCTCGCAGCCAGCACGGGACACAGGCAGCGCTGGCCCTCCTGTTGCCCATGAGGCTGTCCGTTAATTTGGAAAGCCTCAGCATGACGTACGCTTCTGACCAAGACAGCAATCAAAGCTCATGCAACAGGAGGCTTGACATCTGGGCTCCCCCTTACTGCCGAGATGCGTTGGGTACCCTGAGCATGTACAGGCCACTGCTCAAACTCCCCCTCTCCCTCTGCCAGGCAGCAGATCCCAGCCTGTGCATGCTGCTCCCAGCGGGCTCAGCACAGCGGTGACATACAGACCTGTTCACTGTGTCCCTGCTGCACCAGCACGCAGCACTGAGCTGCTGCATCACCACAGTTATTCCTTGCTGCAGAGGTGACCCTCCTCTTGAAGCTTGCTGTGGCTGGTCACTGCGCAATGCAGGGAGCAACCCAGTATAAACTGGAAGAGGAAGCCTCCTGTGCCCTGCGAGACCAGCTGCTCTGAGCAGAGCCCTTCCCCTGCACCTGAGATGAGCCCTGAGCCGTTGTACTGTAGGAGCCCAGCAACAAGAGAAGGGATGTGCCACCTCCAGCTACAGCTGGAGCTCCGTCAGCTGCAGCAGGGTTCAAACACGCTCCTAAAGCAGGCAGAAAGGCTGGAAAGCTTTGACATCAGGTACTATTAGTGCCACGTGGAGATGGATGCTGACAGCAGTCCACACCTTGGACTCCCCATGGCACCAGGAAGCTCACCTGCTTCTCCACTGCACCCCACTGCTGGAGAAACACAGATGGGACAGTGGTACAGCTACAGCTGTAACACAGGGCCTGGCTGCCTCCCTCGCCCCACAGCCACATCCTCATCCACTCCCGCAGCCACCCTCACCTCACGGAAGCTAAGCTTCCCGTCAAAGTCTTCATCCACCTCCTTGATCATGTTCTTCAGCCCCAGGTGGGTCTGCGGGGCTCCCAGCTTTTCCATCATCAGTTTCAGTTCCATCAGGTCAATGTACCCGTCCCGTCCTGAGTCGTACCTGCGGGGTGCAAAGGGGAGGGGGTCAGCGCTCATTATCTCCCATATCCCTCTTCCCAGAAGAGGAACCGTGCAAATGGATGAAGTCATGGGGTGGTTCAAGGCTTGGGGAAAGGGGAAGCTGCACGATACGGCCAGCGCTGAGATATATTAAGCTCAGGAAAGCAGCAGGCAGCTTTCAGAGCTGTCTTATCAGAGGGAGAAGTGCTCAGGGGAGCTCAGACCAAACCACCCACACAGCAGGAGCAGGGATGAACTCAGCTTGTCTCAGTGGGCTTTCCGTCTCACCCACTTGCATGTCAAGCACAAAGGTTACTTACACACAGTTTACACCATGCACCAGCACGGCGAGCCAAAGCCAGGCCACAGCCAGCTGCTGCCAGGGCTCCTGATCACTTAGAGGAGAAACAGCAAGCAGAGATCAACCACAACCTCCCAGCAGAAAGCTGCTATCTCTCTTTGCAAGCAAAACACACCCCCTCTAGCTGTTAAGAGGAAAGCCTCTGCGAACTGGTTTTGTACTACACCAGCACCCTGCTTCAGGGCAGCTGCTTATTCAGCATCACCAGCCAGTTCCTGGGGGAGCACAGCAATCCAGCTGGTGCTGGGGGCTGCACGACAGGGCTGGGCTGCAGAGGAAGCTAGTGCCCACCTCTAGGAGCAGGACCACGCTCCCCATGGAGCACAAAGGACTCTCCGCAGGAGCAGAGAGCACCCATATGAGGGGCAGAGTGCTTTAGGGACAGGGAAGACATGACCCACCATGCTCAGCCTGGGACAGTGCACCAGTTCCTCCCCGGACATCTGCCGCGGGTGGAAGTAAAGCATCCGGCCCCCCAGCAACCAGCGCTTCACACGCCCAGGGCCATCACTGGGTTTCAGAGCCCAAAGGCTGCAGGAATGGGTGCTCTGCTATCCGACAGCCCATCAACGGCCCTCCCTCAGCCTGGTCCTGCTGTCAGGGTCCAGCACAGGGCCAGGGGCTTGCACAGGAGGCCAGGGCAGGGTCTGCCAGGCTGGGCTCAGCCCCAATGGACAGCCTGCCACTGCCCTCTCACCACCATCTCAGCCCCGACAGAGTTAAATCTTTCCAACCATTCAGAAAGGAAATCCCAGGCAGTCACTAAAGCTCTCCCTGGGCAGGAACCATTCAAATCCTCCCACCCGTCATCTCTCATTGACTGTTAGCTCTCTTCCAAAGAGAGGAGGGACGCAGGCGTCCCAGACCAGACCTGCACAGCTGTGGTTACCCCAGAAGAAAGCCCTTTATAGCTGAGAAACCTCACAGTGGCAGAGGAAGCTGTGGTGGAGGAAGGCATGAACAGAGCCACTGGCCCAGGCTGCTTGCAGGTGTAGGCAGCGCAAGGCAGGGCTGCAGCCGAGAGCTTTACCCCTGCCTTCACCAGGACAGGCACAGGGTGCTTTTCCCCCAGACTGGAGTGGCCTCTGTGGCTTTCTAGAGTCCCACCACCTCCACAACCATCTTTTATACTCGCTGTACCTCTTTGTTCCCAAGGGTCTCAGTCCCACAAGCCCCAAAACAGCAGGGACATCACCACCGGGCTGGTATGCAGCCCCTGCTACCCATCTGCCTGTACACCCGGCACCTCGCAAACCCATGAGCCCCCCAGGCCAGACAGCTTTTTGGAAAACAAGGAAAGAAACCTCCATCAGAGCAGAAACCAGGTTACAGACCCGAAATGTCACCGGGAGGAAAGACAGTGGGTTCGTCACAGCAGGGAAGGCGTCACTTAACTAAGGCACACATTCACAGCATGACCCAGCCCAGCTCCAAGACACACTTTCAAGACCTCACAGAAGCATAATAAGTACAACATTTAATTGTCAATTTGTCTTTCCTTTAAGCTTGGGAGAAAGGGTGTTGAGCCATCCCTCCAGAGTGAGGCGGGTGGAGAGGCAGAGCCTTTAATCAGCCAAAGCAGCAAAGCACAGAGCGGCAGGGAAGCACTTAGGATCAGGGTTGGCATTTTTCTTTTCATCCCCAGCAAGCTCATGCTGCCCTTTGGCTGGGTGCAGAAGCAGGATGACACCAAGGCCCCACCAAGGGCTGCCCATGCAGGGTCAGGACACTGCCCGGCCCCTCTCGGAAGCATTGGGTAATAGAGGTGAAGACAGAACGAGGGCACAAGCCCAGCCTGCGCCTGCCGTGCTCATCCCACCCTTCTGCTACGGATCCTACCTCCAGGCAAACACCGGCCCGCAGCGCCTGCCCCAGCACACGCAGCTCCAGGGCTCACATCCCTGCAGAGAGGCAGCACAAAGCCAGGATTGTGAGAAACAGGTCTTGCCAGCAGCAGACCGCTGTGGCAGAGTGGCACACTGTACCAGCCACACCAAGGGGTATCCAGCACACCAGGACAGGGGACAGCTGATGCTGGGATGCACCCCGAAATCAGGTCATCGGTCCCTTGCAGTTGAGGACAGACAGAGGGACACTGAAGCCCCCAGATACTCAGTGCAGCCCTGCAGAGCAACAGCAGCACCCTGCAAACTGTTGCATTCCCTCCCCACCCCCTTGCCTCCCAAAACAGCCTGAGTATTTTAGGACCTGGGTACAGCTGCTCGGCTGCTGTGGAGCTGCACAGCCAGACTATTTAGGGAGAGGTGTATTTATAGGGCATGAGAGACAGCGCAATCCATTCCCTGCCACCCCTGGCAGGCACAGGCACTTGGCACAATGGGGCACGGTGTGAGCTGCACCTTGCTGGTCGGCCGATGCTCCCAGCCCTACCAAAACCCCACTGACTGCCTTTTGGGAGCTCCCAAAACCCCGTCTGCCTTACAGGAACTGCCTTTTGGGGCGCAGGGCTCCAGCCAGCCCCCGACACTGCCCACCCCCATGTTGCTGCCTGCAGAGCAGCCCT